CTTTATACAAATTGTGCAACACAAAGAAACTAGAGCTTGGACACATTAAGTCACTTGCCCAGGGTCTGGGCAAGACCTCAGATCTCCACTTCTTCCACCCACTCCCTACCTTGGCTGCAACTAGATTATTTTTGTGGCTGGAGTTACTGGCTTGTGCTGACCTGTGGACGCCTCAGAAAAGATATCAGGGAAGGAGAAGGTGAGGAAGAACAAAGGGGGTCCCCTCTTCTGAAAGGACTTCCCAAGGCAAGAGTCCTGGGAATGTCTTCTGTCCTGGAAGGGCCAGGATGTTCTGGAAGCTGATTCCCAGGTAGGCTTCTCCAGCTGTCAGTGTGAGCGTGCATATGCATGTGGTGTGTGCACAGGTGTGTGCGTCTGTGGGTGCCACAGCTGCCAGGACCCACGCTATCCGTGTCCCCTGTATTCTTGTTGTGCCCACAGCCAGCACTAGGAGGAAACTGCAGAAGCATGGCTGAGCGGGGCTGCCACCTGCTGGTTGCACTGAGCACTGCAGGCCTGTGGGGACCTGGCACCTGGTCTCCTGGGTCAGATACCCAGGGGCCCGAAGAAAACAAAGTCTCCTGTCACCCCTGTGCCCCTGAGGATCTCCCCAGAGAACAGCTACAGGGGCCTGATAGCCTTCTTGGTACCATGAGCCCCCCCCTCCAGTCAGATCAAGCCATCAGAATAATGGTTTTAAAAGCATAATATTAAATAATAGGATTTCAAAGGAAACCAGTTATCAGAATAGCAATTGTAATATATGTGCTTAGTGAAATAAGATCCAAAAGCAAGTCTAATAGCAACGGTAATTTTGAACACATGATCAGCACAAATGACATTTTGAGAGATTCACAGCTGGAGTGTGATATGAACATATTTTTGATTGTTACTGATGGCAAAGTCACAGGAACGGCTGACAGCACTGCCATTTGGGGCCACTATGGTGGAAGGAAATGCCTCGATTGGATTGAAGGTTTGTAACAATGGAGATGTCATTTCTCCCATCCAAGTTCATGAATTCTCTCCATGGATCCCTTGGGGGTCGGGCACCCCAGGTTAAGAGCCCCTGGCCCGGATCCTGCCTGGTGGCCCCAGTTCCTCCTCAGCCCCTTAGCCAGGTTCCAACCCAGCTTGCTCCTTCGGCCCCTGCTGTACCCTCCACAGCCTGGCTCCCCACTACCCTCTGACACCCCCCCCCCTCCCCAACACGGAATGAGGCATCATACTCAGAAGACAGCCAGGGGCTTCCCACTCTGATGATGAGCAAGAACCAGAGCTGGTTTCTGGAATGCCATCACACTTTGGGGCAGCTTCAGGTCCTCCGGGCAGGGAAGGACACCCCCAGACAGTGGTCCTTCTCTCCAGGATACAGGTGCAGAGGCCTCAGCATCCTGTCACCTGGACATCACCACACGGCCCAAACCAGGGCTTCCATGCCATTTGTCCTTCTGGAGAATCTGGGGAGACACTGAGTCCTTTCCTCAGCATTTTCTCTTTCCTCTCCTAAATCCTAGACATTGCCAGCCCATGCATTTGAATGGGGAGGTGGCATTTCTCCTCCTTTCCTCGATAATATTTAATGAACACCTGCTATGTGCCAGACATTATGCTAGGTGCTGGAAATAGAAATATTGGACACAGTAGGCAAAGTCCCTTCATTCCTGGAGTTTTTATTTTATGGAGGGAGGCAGAGTAAATAAATAAATTAGTAAAATTAATAGTATGTTAGCAAATGATCAGTGCTCTTGGGGGTAAGGGACGTAGGGTACGGGAGGTGGGGGGTGTCAGGGTCGGTATCACTGAGCAGGTGACCTTGGAGCAGATGTGAAGGAGGCAAGGAGGGAGCCCCAGGCATGTGTAGGGAAAAGCTCCCGGCAGGGGCAACGGCCCTAGGGAAGCCCTGAGGAGGACCAAGCTGAGGCAAGTGAGGTCAGAGGGCCAGGTCGTGCGGGCCTTGAAGGCCCCTGGAAGGCCCCTGAGCTGGGAGACATTGAAGGGTTTGGGTAGAGGACATGGACTTCGTGTGGGTCTGAGAACATACCTGGGGTGAGATGAGGGGCAGTGGAAGCCAACAGGATGGGGATGGCCCCGCCAGGGAGGGGGGTGGCGGCGGAAGCAGGGAGAAGTGGTTGGATTCTGGATCTGTTTTGAAGGACTTCCTGTTGGATGGATGCAGAGTCTGAGAGAGCTGCCAGGATAGACATTGCAAAGTGTATTCGCTTCCTGGGGTGGCGGAAATAAACACCACAAACTGGGCGGCTTAAAACAACAGAAATCTCTTCCCTCCCAGTTCTGGAGGCCAGAAGTCTGAAATCAAGGTGTTATGGGTTGAATTTTGTCCTTCCAGAATTCATCAGTTGAAGTCCTAACCCCCAGCACTTCGGAATGTGGCTGAATTTGGAGATAAGGCCTTTTAAGAGGTAATTAAGTTAAGACGAGGTCATTGGCGTGGGCCTACTCCAATCTGACTGGTGTCCTTATAGGAAGGAGAAATTAGGACACAGACACACACAGAGGGATGACCAGGTGAGGACACAGGGAGAAGATGGGTGTCTACACACCAAGGAGGGAGGCCTCAGAAGGAACCAAACCAACCCTGCCAACACCTTGATCTGTGACTTCCAGCCTCTGGAACTGTGAGAAAATTGATTTCTGTTGTTTAATCCACGCAGACTGTGATACTTCGGGATGGCAGCAGGAGCATATTAACACACAGCAATCTGCTCCGAGCCTCTTCCAGCTTCTGGGGTGGCCAGCAATCCTTGGCATTCCTTAGTTTGTAGATGCATCTCTCTAACCTCTGGGTCCATCACGTGGCCTGTTCTGTGTCTCTTCTCTGTTTATAAGGACACCAATCATTGGATTTAGGGCCCACCCTATTCCAGTATGACCTCATCTTAATTTGATCACATCTGTAAAGACTCTATTTCCACATAAGGTCCCTTTCACATGTTCTGGGTGGACATGAATTTAGGGGGAGTCACTATTCAACCCAGTATAGGTGAGTTCGTGTACGTTTCCTTGGACACCCACTTTAATCCTATCAGGCTTAAACCCTCAGAACCCTTCCAAAACACCTGAGTATGTCCAGGGTGATGGGCTTCTTAAAGGAAAACATGGCTCTTATCAGGTACCGGCAAACATACATTCAATTGATTCTGCTCCTGACACCCCGTGGTCATGGGAACCCACAGCCTCCCATCAGCAACAATCTGGTCCCTCCTGGAACTGTAGGCTGGTGGGAATAGCTGCCCAGCCCTCCTGCCATCTGGACCTGGGGTGTGGTTGTGGGGCAGGCTAATAGAGAATCATGACAGTGCTTATAAGGATGCTCAGGTGAGATGTAGCTGTGCTGGACAGAGCTGGACACTCGCTGCTACAGGCCTGGAATGGGCCAGTGACCAGGGGCTGGTAAGGAAATACAGTGAGTTCCCTACAGGCTCCTCACTTGGGCTACAGCTCTGGAAACCTCCTGCAATCCTCCAGAGGAATGTTCCAGACAGCCTAGCAAATCAGTGAGCACTGCCCTGGAAGGTGTCCTTGCCTGGGGTTAGGAGGGAGCCTGGAAGTGCCTGACTCTGCTGCCTGACCCAGCCAACTGCCCAACAGACTGCGTGCTCCCAAACTTTGCAAGTCAAATACTCTGCTGAACTGTATTGCAGCTGGTGCATCTGTGCTTGGCAAAGTGAGCTTCCCTCCCCAGCTCTCAGGTTTTTGGGGGTTATTTTTATCCCAAGGGTTCTTTCTACCCAACCTCTTAAATGTGGCTGACAATTTGTTTTTCAAAAAAAATTTTAACTTCTGTGAGACAAACACCTGATTACCCCCATTTTTGCAGAGATGTAGCTCCCTTTACAGCATGAAACACCACTTTTAAATTCTTCTGGGTGAGTTGAGATTTTTTTATCCTGGTTCCCTTGAAGGCATGTGGAGGTGGGGAGCTGTGTCTTCTGCCAGCAGGAAGTGGTTCTAAAATGATTTCTGTCCTTCTCTATTAAGAATACTTTAAAGTAACTCAAGGTTTCATTTGATCCTCTAACCAGTTATCCAGGGCATGAGGGTGCCCTGCTATACCCAGGTTCCTTCCCGCCCTGAATCATGACATAGCTGACCCCCGGGTGGGAGGCCAGAGGAAAGGTGTGTGTGGCAGTATCCACCCCACATGCCAGCGATGCTGAAGTCCAAGAAAGTTCCCTAAATGACTTTGCTCATTGAAAGTGGGGCCTCCAGGGTGGCACAGCAGGGGTGGGGTCAGGGTCTACTCACACCTATGTCCAGCTCCTCAAATCTTGGGGCACACCCGCTGGGTGCTGGGTGGTGGGGGCGACAGGAGAGCAGAGGCAATTAAGAAAAAATCCTGAACCTCTTATAGAAGAAAAAGAGCGCAGGAAGGGTGTAGACTCAGAGCTTTGCAACTCGAAGTGAGGTCCTGGGACCGGCAGCATCAGTAGCATCTGGAATCTTGTTAGAAATGCAGAATCCCAGGGCCCATTCCAGACACCCTGCATGAAGGTATGTCATTTAACAAGACCTCCAGTGACTCTCATCACATCCATGTTCAAGAAGCCCTGCTGGAGATGGGAGGTTCTCACACTTGATGCACCAGGGCTGCCCCCTCCCCGGGAGCTGATTCACGTGTGGCATGGGGCCCAGGGATCTGCATTTCCAAGTTCCCAGGTGTGCCCTACATCCCCCTCTGATCAAGAGTCCACCCCAGAGTCTCAGACTTGGCTGCACATTGGAGTCACCTGGGGCGCCTGGACCCACTTCCGGGAGGCCCTCAGGAGCCAGACTGTCTGTGATGCAGCCTAAGAGGCAGTTTGAGAACTACTGACCCAAACCACTGACCCAGACCTGAGGTCGTAGCCAGCGGCTCCATCCAGGGCAGTTGCCAGAGAACACGACGGGACGTCCCGCTTCATCCAAGAAATGCTCTTGCTGCTTGCAAGGCCCAAACATCCACGCACGGAAAACAAAGAGACTCGGGCCGCCTGGCATATGCTTGGCTATACTCAGAGCACACAAGCTTTATTCGGCAATAATGGCAGTATTTCATGAGTCGGAGCTGCACGACAGTGGGAACGCTGTTTTCAGCACAAAGTCTGAGAGCAAACGATGACAGCAACAAAGCTCAGCCCCCACGGCCCTGCCTCCCCTCCCCAGGCAGGCCCAGGTTGCTCCCTAATCCTGCACAGTTCGATGCGGGCCTAATCGTGGTCTCCCTCTGCACCCATAACACAGTCTCTGTACATCCTCTGCCTCCCCCAGGCTGCTGGGCCAACAAAGAAAGAGGAGTGGGCTGGTCCCCCCCCCCCCCCGGGTTCCATCCAGTCCTGCCTCTTCCTTCTCAAGGCCACCCTGGGAGCAGCTGGCGGGGGCAAGAACACTGTCCCCTCCCCCTCCGGGTACCCAAGTCCCCGTGGCTTGACTCTTTTTTTGCTGCAAAGCCTTTTCCTCAATGAAAGTTTAACATGGACTCAATAAAAGAAGGTGCTATTTATAAAGCACTTTGCACTCACAAAGCATTAGCCCTGCCCCCACCCAACCCCCAGCAAGCAGAGAGGGAACAGGGTGTCCCTAGAAAGGGACCCAGTAGCCACAGGGACAGCACACAAAGGGAGGAGCCAGGCCCAGGAGCTGTCAGGGCCATGTGGGAAAGGTCAGATTTCATTTTAGTGCTGATTCAGGGTACATCCCAGCAACCACCTAATTGATACAGAGGAAATCATCTGAAATGTCTGTGTGGTGTGTGTGCACGCTTGTCTCTGTATGTATGACCTTTTGTGATGCAGCCTTAAATTATCCATTTGTGACTTTCCTTCCAGCTCTCTGACCTGGGCAGTGCTGCCTGGGGGAGGGAACTGTGAACCCAAGATAGACAGCAAATGTGCCAATAGGGGAGGAATGGACGAGGAGTAGCCAGGCACACTTAGGAGAGAACAAGGACCACGTCTGGTGTTGCAGCCCCAGTTGGGGCCTCTTCAAAGCCAAGGAGTGGGACTGACTGAGAGGGGCTTACAACTGTATAGGTGGATGGATGGATGGATGGCTAGGGGGTGTGATGGAGGGGGGCTTGTGGAGGCAGCTGGACTGTAAAAATGGATGGTCGTCCAGGGTGGACAGCCCTGCACACATGAACCCCTTCTGCTGGGCAGTGTGCACCACCCTGCCCCGCCCTGCCCGAAACTCCCAGTCAGCAGTCAGTTAACGCTGAAACCGGGTCGGGGGTGTGGGGCGCTCACACTGTGTAAGTTTTGACAGACTTGTAGAGGGGCGGCAGCAGCCCGTGGTTCTCGCGGACAACTTCCAGGTACTCGGATGGCGTCTCCAGCAAGAAGGGCCCACAGCACATCTGGCAGCAGCACCTGACCCCAGTGGGCGGCTCCGGGTTCTTGTCAGACATGGGGGAAAAGTCAAAATCAGCCACCTATGGTGAACAAAACCCCACTGGTCAATCACCCGCCCGCCCACTGGGAGTCCCATTAGGTGGCCTTAGGAGCTCAGCTGCCTGGCTAGGTGGCCTTGAGCTCAGCTGCCTGCTGGCAGCGTGCACAGAAACACCTTTCTGGAGCCACGCAGCGCTTCCCTGTGCCTTTGGCTTTTCTGCTCTGTGGGTCTTTCCTGCTTTCGGTTGCCCTCTCCCTTAACAGCTCATGGGCACGGCTGCCAAGCAAAGGGCGAGCATAGAAGGAGGTAAGTCACATTGGCAAGCAGCTAAATCATCAATCGGGCCCCATCTACGGATGCCTCTCGGGCACATTACCCCCAGCCTCAGGACCTTGCTCTGACATCCAGACCACCTCCAGGCTCCCTGGTCTAGCCCCCTCTGCCCTCTCCCCATATCCTCTCCTATCAGGGCCCAGGAGTCCAGCCCCCACCCCACCAAGCACCCACCTCCACCATGTCCTTCTGATGAGCGGCGTTCCGCAGGGTCATGTACATGATGAAGGCCAGCATCATGGTGATGAGTGTGGCACACGGGAAAGCGAAGACAGCAGGCTGGATGCCTGGGAGTGAGACAGGCTAAAGTCACAAGCCTGGGTAGTTGGTGCTGAATACTAGCCTTCAGAAGGAGATGACACAGGGGAGAGAACACAGCCCACCAGAGCTTTTTTCCTCCTTGTGTTCATGCATCCCAACTAGGCAACCCCAACAGGCAAATCCAGGATTTCACAAAAACCAAGCTGGGGTATGTGAGGGTTTTCAAGTTTTACTTGAGAGTGACTTTCAAGGGGTGCAACTAAATTTCCCACCAGGGTGTGGGCTGCTCCCAATGAGCAGCATGAGACAGAGTGATGACGTACAACTTCTGAGCCTATGCCATGAAAGACCTAGCAGCTTCCTCCTTGGTGTCTCTTGGGTGACTTGCACTGGGGAAGGGAAGCCAAGTTGTGGGGACACCCAAACAGCCCCGTGACCTCTGGCAGCTCTGGGCTCACTCCCTTATCCTGTTACCAAGAAGCAGCATGGCAGAGCAGGAAGAGCCCAGGGGGTCTTGGGTTCGAATCCTGGTTCTGACCAGTGACCTGATGGCAATACTGACCCACAAGGCTGCCACGGGAATGCAACCAGGTGAGGCAGGTGCAAGGCAGGCGATCAGCAAGTGTGGGTTCCTTCTCCCTACTCCCCCACCCTCCTCCTGGTAGAGCCACCGCCATACGCCATGAGGATCTGTCTCCCAAGAAAAGGCGGCATTGATTACCCGTAGTGCTGTCTTTCTCTGCAGAATTCAGAGGGATCCCAGACACCCAGTGCCCAGGAGATGTTGGGGGAGGTGGGGCCCAAGGCCACCGATGATGCCAACAGGTCACAGAGTCTGCCTGGCCCACAACATCAGCCGGGGCCAGGAGCGGAGCGTGGTGTCTGCTCAAGGTCTCAGAGGGACGGGAAAGACTGGAGGGGGCAGTGACAGCATCTGGTGCACTTACAGCGCCAACCTCGGGGATGAGTGCAGCTGGCGGGGTGTCCCCTTTTGTTCTGTATGGCATGGAACCTGGCTGGGCATCTGAAAGACCATCCCTAGGGTTCTGGGATCCTACTTTCTCCTCTACATAAGAAAGTTCTTTTCTGGGGTCACAGAACAGCCCCCCCCCCCCCCCCCCCGGAAATGAAGGGTAGGACCTGACGCTGTCATCAGCCAATCCTGTGGCTGTAAGCCAGTGGCAGGACCTCATGATGTGTTTGGGAAAGGGTATTCCAGGGGCGATGGTTGGGCACCCTTATGAACGAGAGAGACTGTACTGCACACTTTCTGAGCTGCTTACCCTCCCTGGGAGACTCACAACAGCCCTGTGAGTCCAGCACCGTCACCGTTGGATAGCCTGTTTTAGTGGCAGCAACAGCGCCGAGATGGAGGTGATGGGGTGGCGGTGATAGCAGTGAAGGAGGGAGGGTTCGTGTTGGGGACAAGTGTGGCAGTGGTTAACGTATGGAGAGACACTGACCACTGCCAGTGGTGGTGGCAACAGGAGAGCTGAAGTTGGGATGCTGCTGGGGTAGCACGGGATGGATGGCGTTGGTCCAAATGGTCGGTGCAGGGGCTGGTGGCAGGGGTGTTAACGGCAGTGCTGATGGTGGTAAGGGTGGTCGCAACGGCAGCGCCGTCTCTGGCTATTGAAGATGCTAGAAGAACTGTCTGTAGCATGTGGTGACGGGGGCAGTGGCGCTGGGCAAGTTAGCCGGCAGTAGCTGAGCTGTCTGTCGTTACTGCTAGTGGTGCTGGTGTGGAGGGTGGTGGCGGTGGAACTGAGGGGTTCTGGTAGTGGGGGCTAGAGCAGTTGTTGATGGCACTACAGAGTTTCTAGTGCTGTGGCTGGTCAGTCAGTGGCGTTGGCTGGGGACCACAGGGTTATTGATGATGCTTGTGTTGTTGGGACTGATGTTGATGGCTGTTGGTGGAGCTGGCTGCTGGCAGCACACTGGCGGTGGTGGCAGGGTTGACTGGTTTTTGCTGCCTTTGTAAGAGCAGAGGCGAAGTGTCACTTACTGGAGGGCCAGACCTGGATCTTGTGGTACTGATGCGTCTTGCTGATAATGTTCTCGGCCTGGATGCTGAAGCAGTAGTCCCCAGGATCCCTGAAGATGTGGGTCAGGTTGTAAGCCGTGCTGCCCACTGACACAGGGTGGCATTCCCCTTCCCCCAGCGGGAGGCACTCGGGCTTAAGACGCCAGCACACGTTCAGAGGGGGGCTGCAGGGAAATGGGGGCATTTTTTTAGCAATGGCTCAGAAAGGAGTGTGAGCATAGACTAAGTCCAAGAAAGCCCAGGCAGTCATGAACTTCAGTGTCCTTTCCAGGACAGAACACCCAGCTTCCCTGGCCTCCAGGGAACAAAACGGTACATAAGAGATGGCTCGGGACTCCGAGGGGGTCAGTGAGGCAAACAGGGACATACACAGACTGCTGAAGGAGGCAGAATGAGTGCCCCAGTGACGCACTTGGTGCACTGTGGAAGCACAGGGGATGGAGGAGCGTGTTCTTAATGAGGAAGTCAGGGAAGGCTTCCTGGAAGAGGTGGCATTTGAGTAGGCCCTAAAAGGATAAGTCGGCTTTTGACAGGTTTGAAGGGGTGAGGGCATTCCAAACTACCCACCTGCCACAGCACAGGCTCAGAATCTGGAAAATGCAGGTCCATAAAAAGAATTCCAAGTGAGCATTCCTATCTCACACGACGTAGACCAGAGTAAAACACACACTCATGCCACTTCAACGATCAGGTCTACCAAGCACAAGTAGTTTCCCCCTCTGCTCTCTAAGTACTGAGCTCTTATCTCCAAAGCCCCCTGAAAGCTTCAGGAGCCACCTCCAGCCCCTTGGCTTGTCTTCCTCCTTCCTTGGCTACTTTGCCCCCTACCGGTCTAGCCTTATTTCCCCCTGACATGTCCCCTTGTCGGGGGATTGGGTGGGGTTGGTCTTCCCCACTCGAGTCCTTGGAGGGCTGGGCCCTGACCACTATTTTTCTGCAGCCCCGTCCATCCCAGTGGCCCCAGAGAGGGGCTCCCTTGTGGGGAGAACACACCCAGCATCTCTTCATCTCATCACTTACTACAAACTCAGCTTGATGGTGTTCTTGGCAGGAGCTGAGCCAGGTCCTACCCAAGATGGCCTGCTTTCCAGGGGGCTGGAAAGCAGGCCCAAGTCACATACAGGTCTTTTCACAGGAGTGGTCGCTCACCTGCCTCTGCCTTGATGCCCATGTTGCCGACAGCCCCAAAAGGCCACTGCTCCCTCCTCTGGACCCTGAGAATGGAGCCATGCCTGTGACTCTCCCGTGGCACAGTCAAGGGTGGCATCACCCCTCCGTGAGCTCCTTAACTTGGGGCCCCTCAGGGATGGAGCAAAAGGTCAGGAGCCTGGGAGGGGGAGTGCGGGCAGGACCACAGGTCACGTGCAGTGTGCTCTGGGCTTCACTCACCTCCCCAGGAAGTTCAAGGTCACTATCATCTTTTGGAAGGTCTGAATTAGGGTAGGCCCCAAGACCTGGATGCCTCGAAGGGTTTCTGAAAGGCAGAGAAGACCTCATTATATCTGGTGGCTGACGAAAGCTGTATCAGGGCTCGTGGAGTCCCGAGGCTGTGTGACCATCACCCCGTCCTCCTCCCGGCCCTCCCCAAGGGCAGGTCACAGGTCACATCCAGGGCATACCCGGGTCCCGCCTCCCTGTCAGCAGCAGGTGCTGGAGCCAGCGTAGATTGAGGGAGCCGGAGGAAGCAAGCAGGGCCCTGGTGAGCAGGACCTGGGGCTGACTTAGGGTACCACCGCCTCCCCGCATCATCTGTTCCGTGTGTGGGGTGGGGGAAGCAGCACCCCATTAGCACGACCAAGAAATCTGCTGCAGCTGCCCCAGCATCCCCTCTTGCCAAAGCCAGGTCTGGCTGTTCCCTCCCTGTGCAGCCGACTGAGGCTGTCCCAGCCCCAACAGGACGGTCCTTGACGGGAGGCAGATGTAGCCGGGAACGAGGAGTGATGGGGATGCACCAAATCACAGCAGTGTCTAGGCTCTGCCACCTGGTGGCCACCTGACCTCCTCCATGGCCTGCAGTGCCCTCTTGGAAGCGGGGAATGACAGACCCGCTCAGAGGGCTGCCAGGGGAACAGAAGAGAGGCTGTGCATCTGAGCTCAGCCCAGTGCCCAGTTGGAGCCACCCTGATCTGCAAGTGACCCAGCCCTGGAAGGAGTGGTACCCAGGGCTCCCCGATGGGCCAAATGCTCAACCCACAACAACCCCCAGAGACTCACCCTGCAGCTTCAGCGAGGCGGAGAAGTCGCCCGTCTTCTGCAGAACGCCCTTCCCGACGTCCGGTGTTACCTGCTCCCACTCCGCCACAACCTTGACCTTCACAGTGAAGGATCCAACGATGGAATAGTTATAATAGACTGTAGCGTCTTTGGTCACCATCTGGGTGCTATAAGGTGACAGGGAGGAGATGACAGAAGTGACTCACGTGCCCTCTTAGAGTGGTTGTACAGTGACACATTCAGACCAACGCCTTGCAAGCAAAAACATCATCCCAGCATCAGGTCCCAGAGCCAGCCAGGGCATGAGGTCAGCTGTACCTGGTAGAGTGGCTGCTGGTTGTCTTTGTATTTGTAAGTGACAGGTAGGAGAACTCCTAGCAACAGGTGCCTGTCACCTGCCAGGAAGTGCTCTGCACCCCGAGCCAGGAAACTGGGAAAGGCTGTGTGTTAGACAAGGACAATCTGGGGAGGGGAGAAGTATGAACTCTGGAGTTCAGACAGACGTGGCTTTAAATCTCAGCTCCAGAATTCCTATTTACGTAACTCTAAGCCTTACTTTTCTCATCTGAAAAACAGGAAGAGTCATACCTCCATCACAGGTTATGATATAACATATTAAGTGTGTAACATCATGCTTTTTCCCTACAATTACCTGAATCACTTCAAAAGGAATTCTAGGGCTTCCCTGGTGGCACGTGGTTGGGAGTCCGCCTGCCGATGCAGGGGACGCGGGTTCGTGCCCCGGTCCGGGAGGATCCCACATGCCGCGGAGCAGCTGGGCCCGTGAGCCACGGCCACTGGGCCTACGCATCCAGAGCCTGTGCTCCGCAGCGGGAGAGGCCACGGCGGTGAGAGGCCCGCGTACCGCAAAAAAAAAAAAAAAAGGAATTCTAGTAACAATAAAATATTTTTGTTGATTTGTTGATGCTCTTTATATATGAAGTTTATCAAACCTTTACCTATTACATATCTTCCAAATATTTTCTCCCAGTTTAACCTTTATCCTTTGGTTTGATTTACTTCTTTCATTTCAAATTTTAAATGTGATGATGCCAAATTTAGCATTTTTTCCATTCTAGTTTCTGCCTTTTATTTACAGAAATGCCTTCCCCACTGCCAAACTATCCAATCTCAGGGGATCATCTACATTCCAATCTAGTCCTGGTTCATTATGTTTACTATTTTAAATCTATCTGGAATAGCTTTTGTTAGGGATTAGATTATTTTTCTCCCAAACAGTTAACCAGCTACCCTAGTATCATTTATCAAACAATCTATCCTTATTCACTGGCTGGAAGTAACATTGTTATCATACACTACATGTGTATATAAACTTAGGTTTTTTTTCTGCTTTTTCTATTCTGTTCCATTGAGCTGCCTTTTCTTGCTGAAAATTATTTGTAGCTTTCTAAATACGTTTATGTATGTATTTCTAGCCCCTTTCCCCATCACCATTCATCATCATTCTGCTTTTCTGATCATTTCTCTTTCTTCTTACAATATTGAGAAATTCTCTCATCATTTTTCAAGTCTTTTTAAGGTTCTCAGTACAATCTGTGATTTTATTCACATAAATCCTACAATTTTAGGCTAAGTTTATTCTCTCCGTTTTTATAAATATTATGAAAGATTTTTTCGACTGCCATTATATGGAGAAGATAAGAATCTTTGTTTTGTAACCAGCCACATTATTAAAATCTTTTTAGTTCTAAGATTTTTCAGTTGAGTCTTTTGTGTTTTCCAGGTAAACAGTACTGTCATCTGTGTACAATGACTTTTGTCTCCTCCTTTACATTTATATTTCATTTACTTTTCTTATTTTATTTCATTGCCTAGTCAAAAATGTTCAATTGCAATAGAAATAGTGAATAGGGAATTCCCTCGTGGTCCAGTGGTTGGGACTCTGCACTTTCACTGCCAAGGGCCTGGGTTCGACCCCTGATCGGGGAACTAAGATCCTGCAGGCTGCAGCGCAACCAAAGAAAAAAAAAAAAAGAGAAAGAAATAGTGAATATAACTTTCTTTAACGTGAAAATAAATGCCCCTAATAAATATGGAGGCTGTGCCCTGGTTTGAGACAAATATTCTTTATGTTATAAAACCATATATATACATATATATATAAGCGTATATGTGTATTTGTATACAGGTATGTATATATGTATGTATATACATTATGTGTATATGTGACGTATATGTATACATGTATGTGCACATATGTGTAAAACTGTGTATTTATACACAAAATTTAGATGAACTGTAAAATCTTTGTCATGTTCCAAAAATTATTCTTACTGGGATTTTTATTGGTTTTGCATTAAACTTAAAGAATAACTGGGGGGAAACGGACATCTTTACAATATTAAGACTCACCATCCCGGACATGGTGTTCATACCCATTTACTCAAATCTTTTCTACTTCTGTGGGTGGGAGAGGGATGGATTGGGAGTTTGGGATTAGTAGATGCAAACTATTCTATATAGGATGGATAAACAACAAGGTCCTACTGTAGAGCACAGGGAACTATATTCAATATCCTGTGATAAACCATAATGGAAAAGAATATGAAAAAGAATATATAGGGCTTCCCTGGTGGCACAGTGGTTGAGAGCCCGCCTGCCGATGCAGGGGACACGCGTTGGTGCCTCGGTCCAGGAAGATCCCACATGCCGTGGAGCGGCTGGGCCTGTGAGCCATGGCCGCTGAGCCTGCACATCCAGAGCCTGTGCTCCGTAACGGGAGAGGCCACAACAGTGAGAGACCCACGTACCGCAAAAAAAAAATTTTTTAAAAAAGAATATATATATGTATATATGTACATAGCTGAATCACTTTGCTGTACAGCAGAAATTAACACAACATTGTAAATTAACTATACTTCAATGAAACAAATTAAGAAAACAAATATTTGCTACTTCTCAGTAGCTCTGTAGCTTTCTTCACGCAGGATCTTGCCCATTTCCAGATATGCCTGACCGGCCCCTACTTCCCGACCTGCCTCCCGCAATTGGCTTGTCTGGAGAGGAGGTGTAAGGAGAATGAAGCTGGAACACCTGAATTCTACCATGTGAGTGTAACAGCGTGTGTCATTGGCTGGCCAGGTCCCTCCAGAGTCAAACAGAGAAAAATCTACCTACCTTGACCAGACTTAAAGGGCTGTTTTGGGCACCAATGACCCCTCTACTAGGTTGCAGGCACCTTGAAGGCAGGTCCCATGACTGGCTCACCCTGGTCCCCATGGACCCCGAGCTTGGCACAGAGCTGGTGTACAAGGCATGTTTGGAGTGAGAGAGAGTGAGCAGGTGAAGATGGGAGAGTACAGAGCACCCCACCTGGGACGACAGGGCCACCAGCCATGAGCCAAGACTTTGGGGCATCAAGGGGGGTAAGGACATACCCATCTCCGAAGTCCCAGCTGTAGAGAAACGAGGCGGTCTTGAAGAAGTTGCTGGGGTCGTGGAGGAGGAAGGAAACTTTAAGGACTGTCTTGGTGAGGTAGGAGCTGGGCCAGGGCAGGGAGGTGTTCTGGGTGACAACGAGGTTCCCCACGAGGAACTCTGGGACAGAGACCACGGGAGGGTGAGTCCACTGAAGTGGAGGAGGGCAGAGCCACGTGCCAGTTGGCAGGGCAGCCTCTCCCCCACCCGACCTCCTGGCTGTCACAGCCAGGTGGTGGCAAGAGGGGACGCTGCAGGTCACCGAACACAGAGGCATATGCCCCCTCCGTGGACGCTGGTGAAGACTCACTTCATGTGTTACATGCATAGCTCTGCTCCTGAACCCCTTTCACCAAGACCCTGAACTTTCTGGCACAAAAGATGCCCAGGACCAGAAGGAAATGCACAGGCTTTGAAAGCAACTCTTGGGAAATATTTCAAAGTATTAGATGAGCCTAGAAAAAATGAGCAGTTCTACTGACCGCAGGTCCACACCCCATGTGCTGGGCTGGGTGAGGAACACCATTCCATGCTGCCTCCTCTAAAAAATAAAAAATTAAAAGCTGATTTTTTAAGCAGAAAGTGAGGTGTGCTCAATAAAGCTCATTTGGAAATTGCTGAAAAATGGAATGAAAAGAAAAGAAACTGCTTATCACGCAAACACAAGCATTGTTGATGTTTTGAAGAATTGCAAAGTATACGTGTGTACATATTTAAGGTATACACATATTAAACACAGTTGATCAAACTGGTTATAGAATTTTGTTTTGATTTTTTAAATTTTACAACCATGAGTACCCCTCCAGGCTACAACAAACTCTTTGTAAAGGTCATTATTATTCATTATACAAATTGTGTCAGTATACTTAACCAGTCCCCTTATGGTTGCATACTTAGCTTGTTTCTATTTTCTTCTGTTATTATAAAAACTGTGATGAACATCTTCGTGCATAAACCGTTACCCAAATGGAGGTTTATTTCCTGAAGATAAGTTCTTTAATAGACTGTAAACTCCAAGAAAGCAGGGACTTCTTGGAAAGAGAGAGATGGGAGAGGAGGGAGGGAGGGAGGAAGGAAGGGAGGAGAAGGGGGAGAGAGAGAGAAAGAGAGGAGAGAGGGAGAGAGAGCGAGAGAGAAGGAGAAAGAAGAGGCCAAAGACTAAAATAATTTATAACCATTGATACATATTTATCAGCTGCTCTCAAAGGGTTGTATTAATTTACACCCGAGTAGCAATACGTACTTTAAGTGTCCATTTCAGCACAACCCTGCCAGCAGTGCATATTACCGTTTTCTGATCCTTTGGTAACTGACAGCAGCGCAGAAACCATGGGTCTAATCTGCATTTATGTGATTACCAGCCAGGAGTCTGAGGACAAATCAAGTAGGAAAGGTCCTCACCTGTAATGGGGAGGACGAGGACGCTCCTGGCCACAGGCTGGCACATCCCGCAGTCAGCGGCGGTGACCCAGACGGAGACCGGGAAGTTCCCGGGCACGTTCCCCACGACGCGGATGGTGGAGCTGAAAGCTTCATCTGTCTTCCCCGTGAGCAGCAATGGGGTGTGAATCCAGCGGAAGCGGTAAAGGCGGGTGCTGGCGGGCAGGACCAGGCTGCCATTGTCATCGGCCACCAGGCTGGCCGTGATGGTCACCTCTGCTCCCGTGGTGGCAGGGCCATCGGGGGTGAGGTGAAGTTCATACACGCCTAGGAACCCAGAAACAAAGGCAACAAAGTCCGCGTTTCACGAAGGGGCGTGGCCAGGAAACCCACTGCCACCCTCTGGGCCGGCTTCCGTGAGTCTCTTTTACAGGTGGAGAAATTGGGGCCCAGGCAGGTCAAGTGACCCGCCCAAGGGTCATACGATTAGTCCATTGCCCAGCTGGGATTCAAACCCAGGCCCAACTGACTCCAAATCCCACGCCCTTTCCCGTGTCTCCAGTTTGTTTTACTTTTTCATGCCAGCCAAGCAGGGCCTTACAGAGCATGTGTATGCTGATCTGGCCCGGCTTCGTAGCTGTGAAAATGATGGCCAGTACATGTCACAGGAGGAGCCACCGCAGCTGATGCCAAGAAATGCCCACTCTTTGGGACTAACCTTTACATGTGAAACAAAATTCCAGCTGGAAACACAAAGCTGAGTCTGGACCCTGTTAAGGCCTAATACCTTGATGGTGGTAGGCCAGCCTTGGGAGGCAGGGCCACTGTGATCCAAGCCAAGCCCCCTTCTCTTTGGTCTCAGTTTGTAAATCTGTAAGGTGAGAGTTTCTAGATCTGAGCTGTCCAATATGGTAGCCACTAGCCACGTGTGGCTCCTTAAGCATCAATTAAAGTGAAACAAACTTAAAACCCACTTTCTCGGTTGCACTGGCGCATTTCAAGGGCCAGTCACATGTAGCCAAGGGTCACCATAGTGGACACTGTGGATACAGATCTTCATTATCACGGAAAGTCCCACTGGACTACACTGCTCTAGGGAACCTCCAGGATTCCTGCAGGGGCCAACGCTGGAGCTCTGTGATTCCAGCTGGGTCAACTCCTTGGGGAACCTGAACTTAAATACTGGGGATGCAGCTCTTACAGGGAACCCAGGAATTAGTTTTCTAGGTTGCAAGCAGAGAATAGGGCCTGGAGCACATGGAATGGAGACCAAATAAGAGGCCTTTTCAATAACACTCCCCATCTAACCAACACATTGAAGGTAAGACTAATTGTAATCTGAAAATAGAGAAAGGTATAAAATTAAAAAAAATTTTTTTAATAATTAGTAACAACCACTTACTATATTGGGTCATTTCCTACTATTCTTTTAAATGCTGCTTACTCTGAGATTATATATTCCATTGCTGTTGCTGTTTTTTCAATTCTGTATCATAGGCATTTTCCTAAGTCATTATTCTTCACCTGCTTTAGATAGCTGCAGATTTTATCATACTCAGAAGGTAAGATTTTAAAAATCAGATTTGTTTCCATCATAAAAGTAATACATATGCATAAAGAATATTAGAAGTGTCCTATTACCCTACCCCCCAAGGACAACAGCTGCTATCATATTGCTGTCCTCCAGCTCTTTTTCATGCACGGAAGTTTAAATTTCGTCAGAATCATACTCTGCACACAATTTTGAATTACTTTATTTCTACCTGACAATACATCAGAAGGATGTCTGCAGTGGCACTAATGTGAACTTCACTATTTGCATGATAATCCCTCAAGCAGGCATATCTTAATTCCCAGAACCCTTCACTCTTATCAATAGCACTACTGCACGTCTTATTAACTATTTTCCTGTGATTTGTAATTTTCTTTTTCAGGTGAGACTTCTGAAGGGCCTGAGGTTAGAGAATGTCTAACAGTGCACACCTGGGCAGAAGAGGTGATGCAGAAGGAAGGGAGGAGGGCCCACAAGCCCCCCTCTGCTCATTTTACTCCCTCCCACCCCAATTCCCGGCCACATACACCCCCTCCCTTGGCTTCCAGTACCTCCTAAATGCTGATAGAACCCAGTAACACAGACTTCATTTCTACTGAGCAATAATACAATGGCTACTAACCACATGCAATTAAATTTAAATTAATCAAAGTTAATCACTTCAATGTATAATACTAAAATTCCAGTCCCTCCATTGCACTAGAGCCACAATTCAAGCGCTCAACAGCCATAGCTCTCCCGGATAGCACAGATATAGATCATTTCCTCCATCATCTAAAATTCTGTTGGCCACTGATGCTCTAGACCCCCTGGATTTCTCGCTTCCCAAACCTACCATTCTCTTCACCTTTCATTCTCTGCCAGGTCAGAGGACCAGCTGTCCCAAGAATCAGCCCCCGGGCCTCTGCCACTAATTCTCTCTCTCCATTACTACCAGCATTGCTTAAGGTAGCACTCAGCCCCATCCGGATGGATTACCGATACGTCCTGAATGTGACCCTTGGCCTCCAGTCCTGCCCTAATTTCAGCCACCCCAACAAGCAGCTTCCTGCACAGTTAATCTGATCATGGGCCAGCCTCGGGGTGGAGGGAGATCACATTCACATTTTAGTACATCCATGCTGTAGCTTTAACCCTTTAACACCTGCAGTTCCCCCCAACATGCTCTGTCCTTCCTAGCCTCAGGGCCTTTGCACACACTGTCCCCACTGCTCTTCTTCACCTATCTGTCTGTGGATATAACCTCTTCCAGGAAGCCCTCCCTGACACCCCCCCACCCCACCTCCTCGGCACTCTCCCAACAGCCTGAGCACACAGTTGTCACAACCCTGGGTTGGGATAAAGGTTTCCTTATCTCCCCCACTGCACTGCAAGCTCCTTGAGGGCAGGGCAGGGGTCATCCCCATCTCCCCCAAGCCTAGCCAGGTGCTTGGCACATAGTAGAGGTTCAACACTATGCTGTGGAGAGGCACCTGGAGAGAAGGGTGTGGCAGAGGGACCAGGCCACATGGCACTGCCCCAGGAAACTCTTCACCCAAGTGCTATGGACTGAGCCCCAACCCGCAGCTGCTGGGGGGACCCAGAAGTACAGGATGTGCTCCCTGCTCTTAGGGGGCTCACGAAAGACCTGCTGGACTCAGCAAAACTGGGAGGTGAGCGAGTGTGTCCTTAACTGCACCCCATTTGCCTTGCGGCGATGTTGCCCGCCCCCACTGGGGACTCTGGCTCCAGCCTTTCCGCTCACCCACGTTACACATTCCCTGTTCTGAATCCCTTTCCTTGGGGCCATGTTTTGGATTATAAAGTCATTTGGGCTAGCATTGCAAAAGGGACCTGCAGCACCTTAATCCCAAAGAGAGAATTCCAGACACGTAAGTTTCTCCAAGATAACACAGTATGTATTTTACACTGAAGGACCTGAGTCCCCAGAGGTCCCCAGGGACTAATGCTACTGCCGGGGACCACACAGCAATCTGCATTGCCCTAGGCTGAGTCCCTCTGGCTGGGAGGCAGCCTTTGGCCAGGCTGCTGCAGAAAGAGGTGCTTAGAGGAGAGGCCATCTCCTCCCTTCCCTCTCTTGCTCCTGCCCACACCCCCCAGGAGAGGAGCATGGGCCACAGTGAGGCTGGCAGGTGGCAGGGACATTCAGCTGCATGCTAATGGCCATCCAGCGTCTGCAGCAAGACAGGCGCATGTCAGCACGACGCAGATCCGTTGCCAGGGGAACAGAATCAGGAGGGCAGCCAGCTCAGCCAGGAGGCGGGATGGGGTGGGGGTGGGGAGGGGCTGTGGCTACAGCCAATGTTGCAGCAGACACTGGCCCAGCTCCTGGGAGCGCCCCCCATCCCGACCTGTCCACACGCCAGAGGCTCCAAGGGCACTTTTCTCAGGCTTGTTTTTAAAAAGCAGGTATTTCACAGCCCCCGGGTGATGCTGCCCCTCGTCCTCAGGGCCTAGAAAGCGTCCAGAACATCCAGGCTGAAATGGACTGGGAAGGCTTTGCCACCTGTGGCTGAAGGAACCAAGCCCAGGTTTGGTTACCTACCCATGCAAATCCATCTTTCCAAGTTTGGGAGCCCAGATGACATGGTCTTGGAGTACAGAGCAGCCCAGTCAGGGGCTTAGGGGCGCCACAGGTGCCCCAGTGACCACACAAGTGCCCCAGTGACCCAGAGATGAAAGGACCAAAGCAAAAAGTGAAGTGACAGCAGCGACAAAGTTTGACCCGTGGAAGAATGTCCACCAGCAGGCTCCCTGGGCTTCCACCTGGAGCATGCACATTCTCCCTGACCACACAGCCTGTAGGGCCCCAGAACAGTCTAGAAAAGGGCTACATCAGCCTTTTCTCACTGCACATGTACACAGCCCAAAACACTTCCCAAGTTATCTCTGAAGTCTGGACAACACAACCTGGAATTAATGAACGGTCCAGGACACGGACTTCTGACTTCAACCCCTGATGTAGGAAGCATGTCGTGCAGGCTGACCCAGACCCAGGAAGGGTGGAAAGGGCTTCTGAATCTCTCTTTTTCTCCTGTGAGTTTTCCCCAACCCCATTCCCAGCTATTTGGACTGTATCATGGGTGCAATAGGCCAGGCTGGGAACCACACATGACTTCCAAAGAATTAACCCTCCACACCTTTTTTTTTTTTTTTTGGCAATTTAGGCCGTGTTGATAATTTCTGGACACATGCAAACCTAATGGACAAGAGACCCCATTTCCAGGGGCAAGCAGATGCTCCTGACCAAGCCAATTCCCACAAAATTCCCTTAATTCATCCTTAAGATGCAGGTTTTTTATTTTACCTTGTGGCTTTTATTTCACAAGTTTGCTTTAGATCTCTTCTTCTACCATTCTTTCAAGGTGGGGGGGGGTAATGAAAATCTTGGATAATATTTAACACCCACCCAATAGCTGCCCACATCCCAACTGTCCCCTTAAAACTCTCCACCCTGGGTCCTTTTTTGTCGCCAAAATGGGGCAGAAAAGTGGGTGTTGGCCTTCGGGCGTTGAGGAGGTGGGGGTGTTAGAAGCACGATCCGGGGGACACCGGGTAGGACCCAGCGGAACCAGCTCCGGTTCCATTTTGGAAATCAGTCCCAGAGAGGAAATGGCAGACCGGCCTCCTGGGCGCTAAAATCGCATACTCCCCGAAGTCAACACAAGCAGGGTAGAAAGCCTCTCTGGATAAGGCCACATTTTAAGGCAAAAACGCTGCTCCGCGGGCAACCTGGCCGCGCTCCCTGGGGGCTGTGGCGAGAAGACCGACCCCGAGCATTCCCAGACTCCCCTCAGCGTCCTCCCCCACCTCCAGCGGCTGCGAGGATTCCAAACATCAGGACGGATGCGCCGGCCACCGCGCGGTCCCTAGGGCAAGGCCGATCTGGAGGTGGCAGCAGGAACGAGGGCGCGGGGAGCCCCCTCAAGTGCCGGTGACTTCAGGGGAGAGGGGAGAAGGGACAGAGGAGAGGGTTGCGCGGCGCCCGGCAGGCCGTGCTCCGCTCCGCAGCTCGCGGCCTGCGGGGAGGTGGGAGGTACGCGCAGGGCGCACGGCGCCACCTCCGCAGCCCCGGCTCCCGGCGAGGCCGCCCGCCCGGAACCGCCCCGAGGCCCCGGGCGCGCTGCGGCTCGGGGAGGGCGAGCGGCCGGCTCGCGCAGCGCCTTACCTGCAGCCACCCTAGCCGGGGCCAAGGGCAGGAGGCAGGCCAGCCAGAGGATGCGGCCGAGGCGCGGCCAGAGGGCCGGGGCCATGGCGGCGCTGGGAGCTGCTGGAGCGTGGAGGGCACGCGGCTCGATTCGGCTGCGGCGGCTGCAGCTCGTGGGTCGCACGGCACGGGCTTTGCGGGGAGGTACGGGCGCGGCGCCGGCTCGTCCTCGCCTCGGATCGCTGTGTCTCTGCGCGCCGCCGCCGGCCACAGCCCGCCGCGCCGACCCCGACCCACGTCAGCCGCGCCGCGCCCCCTCCCCGCACACTCCCTCACTCCGCCGCACGCCGCCTCTCCCCACGATACTCCACTCTCCCCACGATCCTCCCCTCTCCTCCCCGGTCTCCGCTTCTCCAATCTGCTCCCCCTCCCTACCTCCCCTCGCCGCGCCCCTCCTCTCCCCTCGACCCCTCCCTTCTCCTCCCCTCCCCGGTCACCGTTCCTCCACTCTGCGCCCCCTCCCCTCCCTGCGTCTGTGCCCGCGTCCGCCGGCTCTGACTCAGCGTCCCTAGAGGAGCGTGCACCAGTGCGAAGCCCAGAGCAGGCCCCTTTGGGCTCTTTCTCCAGGTGGCTTCTCCCCTCATGACGCACACGGCTTGGAGATGCGGCTCTTCATTCAAGAAAAGTGTAGCACCTACTGTGTGCAAGGCGCTGAGCAGTGGGCCTAGGAACATCTTGTGTCCCTCCGGAGGGAAGGGCTTGGGTGCAGGTGCCCAGGTGCAGGCGCTGGGACTGATGCCATTCCTCAGTTTACCCTCTCTGCACCTGCTGTAAAATGGGGTTTGTGGTCATACGTGGGCCCACAGCGACAACGCTGTCACTGAGGGCCTTGGGACACTCAGACAACCAAGATAAGGAGTGACCAGGCTGCTCCTTGGACACTCCTTGGCCTAAGCAGGGGCTTCCATCTGCCATAACAGAACAGAGCATGTCTTTTCTCCTAGAAGGTGGCCGGCCTGGCTGATCTTAAAGACTGGACACCGGCAGCCTGGATCCTGGTCCCAGCTCTGCCTCTACTTTATCCTTGGCAAGGGAGCCCACCCAGAGGGGGTGTTGGATGGCTGGTCTCACCTGGCCGGCACCGATGCGACCACAATTGCAGGATGGGCTGCATGGGAGTGAAAGAACTTCTGGGACAGCTGTGGGGTCCCCTGAGAACGGGCCCCACTGGCCCCATTGCCATCTCACTGTGATAGAGGGGAGAACAGATTTGAGTGAGTCCCCTTAGGAAAGTTAAAAGTGCTAGCCACTCCCCGGTGGCATCAGTCACCATTGTGGGGACAAATACCAGGCCTAGGAACCAGGAGACTTTGGATTCTGAGAGTTATGTGACCTTGAGAAAGTCACATAACTCTCCTGGTGCCTCAGTTCACTTTTCTTTAAAATAATAATAATGCCCCATGAGACTGTGGTAAGGATAAAACGACTTGACACATAGAACAGTGCTTGGACATAGTAAGTAATCAGTGTTGGCTGTCATCGTTAGAATTGCTTAAGGACTTGGGAGAGTTTCACTTGTCCATCAGGAATTGAGAAGAAAATTGTGCTTGAGAAGAAAATAGTATATTAAGATTATAAATTGAGTTTCAAATATTTGACTATTTCACATTTTTCAAAGGTCTGGTTGTTAGTGGTTTTTGTAATGTACTAAATGCATAAATAGAATAATAACATTTATTACGTTTTTTTCATGTGTAACACTATTACATTGAATAACTATACAGTAGCCATAGATGGTCACATCTATGTAACAGAAGCCACCTGCAAGGCCACCCTGAAGCTGATGTTGATGTGACCCTTCTTTGTCTAATTCCCCACAGGTATCACCTCCCCCAGAAACCTTCCTTCTTCTGGGCTCTCACAGCACCTGTCTTGATGTCAATTCTTGTCACTGAAAATCTTTCTAAAGCAGGTTAGTCGGTCTGTTGGCCCTAGCAAAATGGTATAACTGATTTCCCTTTGGTAACAGAAGGGCAGCAGCCCTAGTGTTAATATTGCTACCACAAATCCTCATTACCTTGCATTGGAAATGTAACTGTGGGAAGTGGGGGCCACTGAGCTGATAACAATCACCCCCGATCAGCTCTGGAGAGGCTTTGGGGGTTAAATTCTATGGTAGTTTGAAGTAGGCAAAAGGGAGTTCAGGGTGATCTCTTGTTGAATTTACCATGGCTCCAGGCCTAGATCTCAGCTTTACTGGATTTTCTGCTGGAATTTTTCAACCACAGGACACCCAGCCACCCTGTTGAAACCCACAAGAGACCTAGGGAGGATTTGTTAATTCATCACGGGGGAAAGGTTCTTCATAGGGGTGGAGCCCTTAGGGCCAGCCTCCAAGAAGCCCAACAGGTGAGGCAAAGGTAAGCAGGGACTCCAGCACACCAGGGGACAGGGGAGGGAGGATGGCCTCTTGGTGGCTCTCAGAAGGTCAGACTGAGGCCTCATGCCCTGAACCACTCCACGCAGAGACCACTTGTGCAGACTGCTCGTGCCCACCAGAGTGAATATTTTGAGGCTCCCTGTATTCTTTTTAGTGTTCCAGCTGTTCCTATCCTATGGGTTCATACAGTATTATTCCAAACAGGGTACAAATTTATACATTTGTTTATGGGCCGAATTGTGTCCCTTGAGAAATCCATATGTTAAGGCATAATCCCCAAAGTGACTGTATTTGGAGACAGCACCTCTGAAGGGGTAATTAAGGCTAAATGAGGTTATAAGGGTGGGGCCCGAATCCAATAGGACTGGTGTCCTTATAAGAAGAGGAACAGACACCAGAGATCTCTCTCTTGAGAGAGCACAGAGAGGTCATGTGAGCACATAGTGAGATGATGCCAGCGCATAGTGAGATGATGCCACGTATAAGCCAACAGAAGAGGCCTCAGAATGAAACCTACCTTGGTGGCACCTTGATCTTGAACTTCCCAGTCTCCAAAACTATGAGAAATAAATTTCTGTTGGGTAAGCCACCCAGGCTGTGGTACTTTATAATGGCAGCTTTAGCAGACTAAGACAACGCCCAATGGGCAAAAGGAATACATTGGTAAAGAAAGACAGAGGGACTGCCCTGGTGGTCCAGTGGTTAAGACTCTGCATTCCCAATGCAGGGGGCCCGGGTTCAATCCCTGGTCAGGGACCTAGATCCTGCATGCTGCAACTAAAGATCCTGCACGCGGCAACGAAGATACAGCGTGCTGCAACTAAGACCCAGCACAGCCAAATAAATAAATATTAAAAAAAAAAAAAGAAAGAAAAGGAGCTTTCTGTCTAGGAGGGAAAAAAGATGATAAATGAGTAAATATAATTTCTGATTCTAAGGAAAATTCCAGTATTATGAGAGCTAGTGGGGGGGGGCAGGCAATGGTTTTCTTATATTGGGCCTTAAAAAGGCCTCTCTGAGGAGGTGACATTTGAGCTCATCAAGGATGACAAGGAGCCAGCTTTGTGCCTCTCAGGGAAGAACATTCCAGACAGGAGAATTAGCTACAAAGGTCCTAGGTGGGCAGGAGGCACAGCAAGGCCATTGTGGCTGGAACATGAAAAATGAGGCTGGGAGGTGCACAGGCCCAGGGATTGAGGATAAGTTGAAAAGTCTTTGGAGGGTTTTAAGCGGAGGAGGTGCATGATCTCATTTATCTGATAGAGATGAAGCTGACACTGTCCCTAACATCTAATTCAGGAGATAGACAAGAAAACAGGCAAAAATCATAGCAGCATGATGGGTACTTTCGTAGGAGAAGCTAAGGCCATGGGAAAGCATGTGAATTTCACCAATGTTACCCTCCCCGCCCCCCCAGCTGTAGGTCTTTATCACATGCAATTAAACGGAAACTTATCAAAGGATTTGTGTACTGCTGCTTTTTTTCTCGACCCCTCCCCCAACAATATTAAATACCCTCGGATGGCACATTGGTTCCAGCCCTTAGATTTTTCAACTTTACCCAGTTTTGGACCTCCTAAATTTTGGGGTTGGTGGTGGTAGGAGCAAAGAGGATTTTGCTTGCAGGTGGGCAACTTCTTCCATGGGGGAAGGAGTGTTCTGACCCACTATATTTCTCCTGCGGCAGAAATAAGTGGCACTATATATATCCACTTACAATCTCAGCGCTTCAGCTGAGGCTTGTTCTTGAGTGGCAACATTAAACAAAAGCAAGGAGCATGTCTCTGAACGTATCTTGTAGGAATTGCAAGCTCTATTTATTACCAGGTGTGAAATATATCTGAGAAGGGAAAACAAAGATTCTGGTGAGTTAGTGATGATGGGGTGGCGGTGGGGCGGTGCGGGGCAAGCAATGGGGAAGTACTGTCAGGAAGGGGCAGGAGGTGGAGCCAGGTCCTGGAGGGGCTGGAGGTAGGTCAGGTTATCACTTTCATGCTCTGTCCATTTACCATGATTACCACGTGTTTCCAGGAACAGCTCATCATTCAACCAGTCTCATAGATGGAGTCTGCAGGTGAGGCCTGAGAGGGCCTCCTGGTCCAGCCATCACCTCATTTGGGCATCCGGGCCCCACTTTCCCCTCCCTCTCATCATTGCTCTGAGCCAAGGCACCTGCCCCGTCGCGTAGGCGCTGAAAAGCGGTCCACTGCGGTCTAGCCTCGGAGTGATGCAGCTGCAACAAATGACCAGGCCGGCCTCTTCCAGGCAGAACACCTGAGCTCTCCTTTGCTTACAGGGTCTCCGTCTGTCTGCAGCCTTCGCCTTCCCAAAGACCCTCCTTACCTCCTCCCCCTCCCCGGGCTAAGAAGGACCCCAGGGCTCAAGCTGGGGAGAAAACCCCGCCCAGCATGCCACGTTCAGTTCAGGGGTGGCCTCTTCCCGGGCCCGTCCGCCGTCTGCTAAGGAAGCCCCGCGGGTGCCCACCGCCCCGCAGCAGCCCCCAAGCGTCCCTCTCCAGCCTCCTGGCTTCTGCGAGGATACTTAGGGCAGAAAGAGC